AAAACTAGGTAAATAAACAAGTCTAAAATGGGAATTTTAGATAGTATAAATTTTTGATAATTAATTATATTTTAGATACCTAGTTATGCATTAGAAGACTAATATAGGGCCTAATTTCCCTTTAATAAAAGTGTTGGTCTTTTTATAACATTTTGGTTGTCAAATGAAAAATGATAACCTATCGAAATTAAAATTCACAAAACACTTGTATGAAAAGTAAGTACGAAAAAATTAATCAAAATAAATTTTGAGTATTGATCCATCCAAAATTAATCAAAATAAAACATACAAAAATCCAAAATATGATAAAAACATGATAACACTCGTTCTTTTCTTAGTTTTACTCTCCGACATAAGTGAGATCAAATTAGGGGTATAGAGACAATGACTAAACCCACTAACCACAGGATCTAATTCGATCTTCTTGGACACATTGCCCTTGACAATATAAATGCAAGCATTTTCATTTTCGTCATTACAACAAATAATGAGGCTATTTTCGTAGAATTGATTTTTTTTTTTGTTTTAATCGTTAAAGTAACTTAGACAATAGCCCCTAAAACCATGTATTGAAACTGTCATGAACTTCATCCAGACCACATTCTCACCATCCTCATTATTCTTGTCTTTTGTCACCCAAATCTCAATCTTGTTTGTTCTAATGATTTCTCTTAGCATTGAAAACCAATCTCTCTGAAAGACGGAAAGGGCGGGAGGATTGGAATATATATTCTCCCTACGTAGGACGCAAAATATTTTGAATATCTCTTTGGAAAAATTGAAACTTTTGATGAGATACTCATCCGTTTCGAAATTATAAGCAGGCCAATACAAATTTCCATGTATAGACACAATATTAAATTGATCAAAAAAAAAGACATAGTATTAAAAATTTTTATGGAGACCTCTTCCTCAGAAGGGGGATTAATACATTTCCACGCATTGGTATCAAACTCATAGATGGCAAATCTATTGTATAATTGGCATGTATCGTCATTTAGTTTTCGCTTACAAACACTAGACCCCACGATTTTGTGATCCTTTTGGGGTCTATCACTATCATATTCTATGCCAAAAAACCTGAATTTTTTTTCCTCGGACTCGATCCATCTAGTCTGTCTCAACCACGGGTTCCAAACCGTGGCTCTATTCCACGACATCGAGGCACAAAACAATAATCCATCACAATGAATAAACTCGATAGGCATACAATTATTCGAATAAGGTATATGGAAAGGTAACTCACGCCTCTCTGTCGTTGAAATTGATACATACTTAATAAATCTTGGAATTGATGTATAAGAGGAACTGAGGATGGACTAGAGCCAAGTGGTTGGTTATGAACGTCCTATCGTTGAAAAGTGCATTTGATTGTTTGCAAGCGGTTCTGAATCCCGTAAGAGATAGAGGCGGAATACGATTAAGTAACTCTTCTACCAATTCCATTGGAAGCTTTCCTTGTGTCATTTGGTTTTTGGTTGAATAATGAAGTTAACAACATAATACGATCAGGCCCGGCCCAAAACTAAAACTAACATAGTGCAATTTTTTGCAAAAATTTCAAGAAACACCCTAAAGTTTAATAATTTGTTGTTAAAACCCCTATATTTTAAAAACGTGCAATAAAACCCATGTAGAAAATAAAAAAAAAATCAGTTGGACATGGTGCAAATGCACCACTTGCACTATGTTAGAACCGGCCCTGAATACAATATATATAATAAGTTACA